GGGGAATAATGTCACAACTTGGGAATTTTATCAAATATTTGAGTTACGAATTCGATTTTAGATTTATGTAAAATTTTGTAGAAATCCCTATAATTAGGTAGATAATTGTAGAATTTATTCATCATAAGGTGGTGGAAGGATGTAGATAGCTTTCATACTACTAGATCATTGAAATTTATACATATGTAGACTATTAATTAAAATATATAATAGGCAATCATTTGGTTATAAAATGGAAGAATTAGATAGTTTCCACACCATTGGATTGTTGATATTTGTATATATATCTAGACTATTAATTGAAGATTTGAAGGCCAAAGGCATCATTTGGCCAAACTAACAAAGCAATGGTATACTCTCCGTACTTCCAATTCGAACTTTACTTCTTGTGAACTTGCTATTTTCAATTCAAACTCTCTCTACTTCCAACTCAAACTCTATACCATCCTGAAAGTCCATCAGGGTGAGTACCACATGCACACAAACCATGGAAGGCCAGCCTCCCTGCCTAGTATATATATATATATATATATGGGTTCATTTTATGAGACATGAACTACCTTATCTAATTTTCAATTTTATGCTCACAAGACATACGGCTATGCATTTACAAAAATTTGATTTTTAGAATTTTGATTTTTTAGGTATATATATAAAATTTTGATTTTTTAGGTGTATTAGCTTATGGCCAAACGTGTGTTGTGTATACTTGTATAAATCTGTGTGTATTGTGCTCAGCATCTCCATTGGAGATGCCTCAAGGATCCTAATAATGAGCCAAGGCCGGTAGTATTGCCCCAACTAGGAAAGGTGTAGGAATAGAACACCACAAATCCAATCCCACTCTACTTCATTGCTATTCCTACTTTTGTTCTAAAATTTTGCCCTATATTCCCAATACATTTCCAAACACAAGATTATGTCTCAAGATTTCAATATTTCAAAATTCCACTACATCTTCTGGCTAAGAGTGTATTGAAAAAGAGGAAAAAATTGGCCAGGTGAAGATTACTAGTTTGGAACAAAATGAATACGAAGAAATTAAAGCAGAATTTCCTGCATAATTATATAAATTGATGGCAAGAAGCAGTTAAATTGACTAAAAGAAATAGATACAAGTACAAACATACATACATACATATAGTTGGGTTTTGAGAGCATGTAATCATATAATTTGAAGAAATAAAAATTGGAGGAAAAAAAATTAAAAAAAGCAATGACCTTCTTTTGAGTTTGAGCTGCTTTTCTTGATACCTGAGTTTTGCACATAAAGATTCGATATCAGTATACAAAAACTCCTCCATCTCTGTGTTTTTGTTTTTATCACAACTAGATAGAGAGAAAGAGAGAGAGAGAGAGAGAGGTTTTGTTGGGCTAGGGTTTTTTAGGGAACTGACGAGAGAAAGGGGTTTGCAACCAATGCAGGATTTATATAAAAAATTCCTGCATTGTTGAATGAAAAGTTTACAACCCTCATTTTGAAATTTAAAATCCGAAATCTGAATCCCTAATTTTGAAATTTAAAATCCCAAAACTAAAATGAAAACCCTTATTTATGCGATACAAACCTGAGTGAGGGAGAGTGGTGTTCCTCGTTTTGTCGGTGGTGTACTGTTTTGCCAGCGGTGTTCCTCTTCGTCGTCGGCTGAGTGAGGGAGAAGAAGATCGGCTGAGTGAGGGAGAAGAAGATGGGTTGGATATCAAATACGGCTTTCGTAAGTTGAAAGGGAGAAGGGGGCTGTTTTGTTTGTAATGAAAAGCGTTTTTAATTAAAAAAATATTTGGTCAAAAAACGGCTTTTGTAAAACCGTTTTTAATTAAATTTTTTTTTTGGTCAAAAACCGGTTTTTCTAAAACCGTTTTTTATTAAAAATATTTTTGGTAAAAAATAAATTAATGTAAAAACGATTTTACCAAAACCGTTTTTAATTAATTCAGAATTAATTAAAAATTAAGTAAAATCGACTTTTATAAAACCGTTTTCTGAGTCCAAAATTTATTATTATTTTAATCATAAAATACGATTTTTCAAAAATTATTTTCTGAAAAACGGCATTACAAAAACCGTTTTACCTTATAATGGAAATAAAGATAAAATCACACCCTAACGTGGGACTAAAATGTTCAAAACGCCGCAAAGAGGGAAATTGGCCACACTCTCTCTCTCTCTCTCGTAGCTACAGATTCTGCAGATTGTTCAGAATTCTCATGGAAGTAGCAGCCGAATCCGCACTTCTCAATCCATCAACATTCTTCCCTCGTTCCAGCCCTTCATTTCTCCCTGCCTCTCACCCTCAGATCAGATTACCCACCAAGAATTTCCCTTCAAATTTGCTCCTCGTCTCGAATTCCCACCAATTGCATCGTCCCGTATGCTCGCAACGACTTGTTCAGTTCCAGATTCCAACAAAATCAGGGTTTTGTTTGCAGATTCCAACAAAGTGAGGTTCCTGGCGTTGAAGATTCGATTACGAGTTTGAAATTAGGGTTTTTTGTAAATCGGAGAATTATTGCGTTGGCTGCTACTGTTATTGGGGTTTTAGTGTTTGGTTGCCGAAGAGTTTTTGCGGTGGAAGGAGTTGTGGATTCGGGTTATGGGGTTATGGGGTTATAGGACACAGCATATTGTTATTGAAGAGTTATTGGCTGAAACTTTCTCAGGTTCTTTGGGTTTCAAAGAGCAAGGTTTGGTTTTGGCTGCTCTTCTGGGTCTCTTTGCATTTTTTTCTATGGCTGAAACTTCATTTACCACTCTTTGGCCTTGGAAGGTACACATTTTTTTATTTTTTTTTATTTTACTCCAATTGGTTTTTTTCTTATAAAAATTTTGTTTGTGCGACTGTCGACGTGAATAGGAGCATAATAGATTTTTATGTTGAGTTCATGCCAATTTCAAATCACCTGGTCATGTGGAACAGCTTCTTATGCCTGAATTTGTTAATTAACTCTGGTGGCAATAATTAGCAAGTTTGGGTAGGAGGTAAGGTTTAGCTTGATTTAGATTGAGGGAATATCTTATCTACAATAATCTCAAACCACAGACTGAAGAAGTAAATCATCATACTGAGACCAAAGGATTTTACCTGTTGCGACTGCTACAATAGATGGGCCATTTTCTGCTAAGAAGATTGTGAAAGGACAGTCTTCACGACGAAAATGGTGATTAGTTGATCAATGATAGCCTGGTTGTGTTGTACATTCAGAGAGAGATATTTGCAGTAGCATTCCAAATGAGGCTATCATGTTGGTGCTGTCAAGAGATAGCTTGAGGCTATCATGGTGAGAGAGATAGCTTGATTTAGGAATTATTCTGTTTTGCATGTATAGGCTAGACTTATAAGATAATTGTGACTTATTTCTAGCCACATTCCTTAGAAATCTCCCACCACCCTCCTAAGTTGGTTCTGTCGTATTCTATCTCTAACAATTATTGAGGGGAGTTAGAGCAATGTTGTCCATTCAAAAATAAATTAATAAATCTTATTTTCAAGTGTCAAATCGTGAATTGAATCATGAATTGATTTCTCAATAAAATGAATTGTGAATCGTAAGACTCACTTCATTTTAGATTTTTAATAAAATATATACATTTATATTTATATACATAAAATCATATATATAGTTCTTAAAATTAAAAAAATAACAATCTATATATATAATATATAATATCAAAGTGCAAGTGTACAACTATAGAATATATATTAAATATAATATGAATTTTATTAATGTATGTTCTTAGGGTACATGTTAAGAAACTTTAAAGTATTGTTCATTGTGTATGAAAATGAGTGCAATAAATAAAATACAATACTTTTAATCCGTTTAAGAAATTAACACGGATTTAAATAAGTTTCAAATGAATAAAATTGGTGTGGTTGATGGTTTTGAGTTAAGCTTGTTAGTTCTAAATTGAGTATGAATTCTACCACTTTGAAAGTTCAACATGTATCAAACTTCAAAGTACCCCCTTGTTTTGAAGAAGTTATGTAGTGGATCCGTCTTACCAGGTGATTGTGTTTTCATCCTATAACAATGAAGCACATAATTAGTTGGTATAAAATATATTTAAAAAAAGAAAGATGAAAGAAAAACTAATTACATTTCTAATACACTTGAATATAAGCTAGACTTATAAGATAATTATGACCTATTTCCGGTCACATTCCTTAGAAATCTCCCACCACTCACCCAAGTTGGTTCTGTCCTATTCTATCTCTAATAAAAAAATTTTTTTTTGATAAATAAACAAATATTATTGAAAAGGCGTCAAGATGATGCAACGAGTACAAAACGACATCCCCAATTAGGGAAACCAGTCACAAGCACTAACCAACCATATCATCTAGAAAATATGAAAAACAAACGTATCTAGATCAATTGTTCTCTCCAACCAATTATACATAATTACAAGAAGCCAATTCTCTAACCAAAGAACAACATAATAAATCTCTTGAAAGGTTCATCTATTCCGCTTCAACCACACAAGCCACATCAAACATAATGGCGCTAGCAACCACACCCGCCGACACTGATGCCGACGCCGATGCCGATGCCCAATCTGAGTAGCCGGCCAAGCCCAAAGAATATCCAACACTCCTTTTGGTTGAACCCAAACAACCCCAAAGAGTGAACAAATGAAACTCCACAGCCGCGTGGCCACTGGACAATGAAGGAACAAATGATCCACGGACTCCGCATTAGCACAACACATACAGTATCGATTCACTAAAACATGCCCACACCCCATCAAATTATTCAATGTTAGATTCCACTCCAAAGCAGTTGTCCACATAAAGAAAGCCACCTTGACGGAACACCTGGCACCCAAACATTCTTCCGAGGAAAAACCCTACTGCAATCCCCCCACTAAACCCCAATATAATGAAGAAACGGTGAACTACCCCTTGGCCCCCACCCCATTCCACATCATTACATCGGATCCCACACCAGTGATGCCCAACCCATACAAGGGACCCCACAATTCCACCAACTGAGCCACTTCTCAATTTTGCACCTACTGCTGCAACTGAATATCCCAAACTACCATATCCCCACCCCCTAAATAAGATGCCACTGTAGCCTCCCAATCAACCACAATATCGAAGATCAAAGGAAAACGGGTCTCTAATGAAACCTCACCACACCATCTATCCTTCCAAAACCTCACCCTCACCCCATCCCTCATCCTGAACCCTACCCACCTCCAAAACTCCACCCTCCCCAGCCAAATCCCTTTCCAAAGCCCACAACCACGAGTGCTAGTCACATCCCCAAAAACCCAATCCCCTCTTCCCAACCCATACTTAGAGGCGACCGCCCTTCGCCAGAGTCTATCATGCTCCCAAGCAAAATGCCACAACTTCCCTAACAAGGCTCTATTGAAAGTCATCAACCGCCTAACCCCCAAACCCCCTGCTTGCTTACATTGGTAAATCTGCCCCCAATCAATCAAATGGTATCTAAATTCATCTCCTCCACTACCCCATAGAAAATCCCTTTAAAGCTTCTCCAACCGCTATGCCATGGACACTGGAATAACATGCACAAACATGAAATAAGTTAGAATACTACTTAACACATTCTTAATCAGTGTCAACCTCCCTCCTTTCGAAATATTCTATAGTTTATCTATATTTCAATTGTAAAAATTATGAAACTATATCAAACAAAACAATTTGATAAACAGAAGAGCAATAATATACATAATCTAGGTGGTTATGTGCGAGAAATTGTTCTGTTTCGCATGTATCAACATGTTTCAACTTCAAAGTATACCCTTATTTCCAAGTTATCTAGTGAATTTGTTCTACCAAGTGGATATGTGCAAGGAATCATTCTATTTTGCTGGAATTTCATGTTGGCAGTGTGCCCAATGAATAGTAGGGGCTAAATACATACATGGCTTAAAAAATAAGGAAATAGTAGATAAATTATAGAATATTATTGGGCGGGCAGATGGACACGTGTTATTCTGAACTTACTGAATAATTTTCGATTGTGTGCCCATCTTATAACAATGAGACACATAATTAGTTTGTCTCAAATGTAGGAGAAAATGTATGAAAAATTAGTTATATGGCCCCATATACACTTGGAAAGACAAACCACATAGAATATAGGCCAGTTCTATAAAATAATTTCTAATTATTTTCAATCACATTCTTTAGAAATCTCCCATCCACCTAAGTTGGGTTTTGTTCTATCCTATCTCTAACAATTATCAACGGGTACTAGAGCAACATAGTCTGTTCAAAAATAAATTTAAATAAAATTATCAATAAATCTTATTTTCAATAGCATTAATGATTCCTATTAAATTTAATGTAGACAATTAAGTCTTATTTTTTAAAAAAATTATTCTAAAAAAGTTTACTTTTCCTTAATAATATCTTTTATTCCAATGTTACCATTCTTATTAAAATATGGACGACATTTTTTTAAACAATTTCAATGTACTTAAAAAAATATATTTTTTACTTGCAAAAATTGAACAAACTACATCAAACAAAATCAAACTTAACAATTTGATCAAAAGTACTATGACATAGGATTCATCATTTTCTATTGCCTTGTACTCTGAAAAATATATTTAGTAAACAATCCAAAAAGTCTATTTTTTTTAATATTTCATAAAAGAAATTGTGAAAAATAATATCTTGGTCAATTCATATATATATATATATTTCAAACTGTGAGACAACAAAAAAATGATGAATCTAAAGCCTATGCAAAGTTCAACAAAAATAGCTAGGTAGTCTCAAAATGTTCCATTACTGGCTTTGTAAATACCCAGGGCATTGCCAACTTTTAATTGATTCAGGCAAATTATGTTAGTAGTTCTTATATTTTTGCTGTTGCGTCATTTTTGTCTTTATAATTTCAATGGACTCAATTTTGACTTGAACTTATTATTTTGTGTCAATTTGGCCCAATTGATTACAACTTTTAGTTCGTTTTGATGAAAAATGGCAACATGATGAGCTGCAACTGTTATGCATTTATAGGCAAAAACCTATAAACTTGTTCAATGTAATAAGTTAACCTCAACCAGCTCACTAACATTTTTCTGTCAAGAACTCTAATCAGAGTTATCAATCAGACTGAATTAACACAAAATCTAAAATTCAGGGTTCAAAAAATCAAGTTAATTGAAATTACTCCAACCAAAATGACACAAGGGGTATTATGTAGGGACTGCCGACGTAATTTGCTCATTGGTTTACGGAAAACCATTACTAATAGCTTTGGGACCACTGGAATTAAAGACAAAGAATCACTGTTGCCAACTTGGAAGTCATGGCTGATGGTGGAAGTCCAGCTTTGTTTGGCATGATGGCTGATGGATACAATTACATAGTTGCCGTGCTTGACTGGTGGGGCTGGGCTGGGCTGTTGCACCACCACCATAGAAAGACTTAGCTCTGTATAAGAATGAATAATAGTACATTGATTCCTTCTCCATTATCAAACTACTATCCTTTTTACTCTCCTTTTCATATCTCTCTAAATCCTTCCTATAAGAAAATAAAATGAATTGGCTAATGTTTCTTTATCAATTTCTTCTGGTATTTCTCTTGTTTTCTCAAATAGTAGTTACTACTATGTGTTCTTCATTATCATCATGGTCTTCTTCTTCTACTTATGCATGCCATACCTGCCTTGAGGACCAGCGATTGTCACTGCTCCAATTTAAGAAAACTTTTACCATAACTGGCAGTGCCTCTTTAGATTGTGAATCTGATTCTCATCCTAAAATGGTGTTTTGGAATGAGAGTACTGATTGTTGTTCGTGGGAAGGGGTCACGTGTGACTGGTTGCATGGTCGTGTGATTGGACTTGACCTCACCTTTACCTCAAGCTTTACTAAATCTATCTTCGTTGACATCTCTCAGTCTTGTTTATTGTCATCTGCATGGGAAATTCTTAGAAAACATTTTTCACCTTCCAAACCTACGAAAGCTCAACTTATGGGCTAATATCAAACTCACAGGTAAACTTCCAAACTTCAATGTGACTAGTTCCCTTCAGTTTCTTGATCTCTCTTGGACAAGTTTTTCTGGTCAACTGCCTGATTGAAGCGGCAATCTTAAAGCCTTGAATAGTTTGTACCTCTCTCAATGCAATTTTTCAAGGTCCATTCCAGCTTCTCTTTGTAACCTTACACAAATCACTGATTTAGACTTCTCATTTAACAGTTTCAGCGGTCAAATTCCCTCATCAATTTCAAACCTTGCAAAGCTTACTAACTTGATTCTTTCACTAAACAATTTGAACGGACAAATACCGGATTCCCTTGGCAATATGAGCCAACTTACTGACTTGGACATTTCTGTAAATTAGCTAACTGGTCCCATTCCTCCATATGCTGTTGGGGTTTCAATGCTAACTTCTCTCCAATTGAGTCGTAACTCACTCATTGGGACAATACCATCTTCGCTGTTTGCTCTACCTTCACTGATTAATATAGATTTGAGTGACAATAAGCTACAGGGACCAATTCCAAGATCAGTTTATGAACTCCAGAACCTAACAGACTTGGTGCTTTCATCAAATAACTTAAGTGGTGTAGTGGATCTAGATAAGCTTCTAAAGCTTAAAAATCTGATCTCTCTTGATCTCTCATATAATGGTCTCTCATTGAGCATCAACACTAGTGTTAACTCTACCTTGACCAACTTTGACACTATAGGATTAGCTTCTTGCAACTTGAGCGAATTCTCAAACTTTTTCAGAGAGCAAGCTGGATTGGCTTCTCTAGACCTTTCAAACAACAAAATTCATGGTGAAGTTCCCAAATGGATATTTGATGTGGGGGAAAATACATTGGGTATTTTAGATCTTTCTCATAATTTCCTTACAAGTTTAGAGTCTTCCATGGCAGCCGCTAGAATATATTGACCTGCATTCCAACTTACTCAGAGGTCCACTCCCTGTTCCACCTATCACCGCAATTCTTCTCTCTCTCTCAAACAATAAATTGATTGGAGAAATCCCTCCATTGATTTGTGGTCTAAGGTCACTTGGTATTCTTGATTTGTCTAATAATAGTTTGAGTGGCTTGATTCCAAAATGTTCGGGAAACTTGAGCAATCTCTTCGTGCTGAATTTAGGGATCAATGGCTTTTACGGCACCTTTATTTCAGCATTTACAAAAGGCAATTGGCTAAGGAATCTTAACTTGAATGGCAACCAAATTGAAGGACAAGTTCCGCTATCTTTGCTCAATTGTAGACACTCGGAAGTTCTAAACCTTGGAAAAAACAAGACAAATGATACATTTCCACACTAGTTGAAAACTCTTCTAGAATTGCAGGTTCTTGTCTTGAGTTTTAATAGGTTTCATTGTCGCATAGGCACCTCCAAGAGCAAAGGCAAGCATCGTTTTCCTAAGTTGAGAATTATTGACATATCTTGCAATGAGTTCACTAGCCTTTTGCCAGCAAATTATATCAAACAATTTGGAGCTATGATGAATATTGATAAACATGAAATAAAATTGAAATACATGGGCAACGGCTATTATGAAGATTCTGTGGTAGTGGTGGTGATTAAGGGATCTGAGATTGAATTATCAAGAATCTTAACAGTCTTGTCAATCATTGATTTTTCAATAAATAAATTCTAAGGAGAGATTCTGAAATCTATTGGGAGGCTTAATTCATTTTGGGGTCGTAACTTATCCCATAACAACCTTGAAGGCCACATTCCAACTTCACTTGGAAATTTAACAAACCTTGAATCATTGAACCTATCTTCAAACGAGCTTGTTGGGGTGATTTCTCAACAATTGACGAGTTTGATGTTTCTTGAGATACTAAACCTTTAGGACAATCAACTTGCAAGACCAATTCCTCAAGGGAACCAGTTTAATACATTTGGAAGTGATTCATACAGTGGGAACTTGGCCTTACGTGGATTCCCTTTATCAAAGAAATGTAAGGAACTACAGCCACTGCCACCTCCACCAACACTCCAACAAGACGAGAATTCAGACAAGTCAAGTGGATTTAGCTGGCAAGTTGTAGTGTTGTGGTATGGATGCGGATTTGTATTTGGAATGGTTATGGGATATATTATGTTTGTAACTCGAAGACCAGAATGGCTTATGAAAATTGTTGACGGAAAACATCATACGAATGTGAAAAGGTCTAAGAAGGGTGTCCACTGATGCAGTGAAAGAAGAAATCAACAAAGACAAATGGCATTATCAGGTAATTGGAATTTATCTTTGCAACATTACTTTGTTGGATTATTTTTTATGGTTTCTATCTATAGGCTATATTTTTGTTACTAATGCTTTTTATTTCAAAACTAGATATTTTTCTTAGTTTCACAATAAAGAAATGGAATCCAGTTGAAGGGGTGCCTCACCAATTTGCTTCATTTGAGTGTATGTGCATTCAGATAGCAGCTACACAAGATCACTTCAAAAGCTTTACCATTGTTGCTGTATTAAATTCTAAAGTTAAGTTGTGTAGTTTTCTTAAAGCCTTGAGTTAAATAAGAGTTTCATGTCATGATTTTTTTTTCTTTTTTTTTTTCTCGCATCGTGTAACAACCTTTGGAGATTTTCACTTTTGTATGTAGTTGCTTTTAAATTGGATTTTAGTCACAAAAAACTAGGCATTGCCAAGTTTTTATCTTTGAAATGCAATCTTACAAGTTACAACCATTCCCCTTGTTACATTCTAAATCATTTTGAGTAATAGAAATGTTGGCTACTAGATAGAGAATTCGCATAGAAAATAATGTTATATGTTAGTCTTTGAGCAGTGCTTTTACTCGTCGCTATTGTAGTCCAGGTCCAGCAGAGCTTTTGTTCTCTTTCACACCTTTCTATCAACAGACATAATTGATGATAATTATTATTATTATTATTTTTCATCTTCATTGGCGAGTGGAGAATCAAACTAGAGATATGTACTAGCACTTGTTCTATAGACGTGGGAATTTTGTTATTAATTGTAGTATGAAAATGGTATTAATTGAAAAGGTCGCTTATAGGCAAGAATGTTGTTGGGATTGTGAAGTTTGATTAATTAGTACTATACATTTCATTATATGATCATGGATCCAACTGATGTGACCATGTGATTTTAATGCGTTGTTGTTTTTTTTTTTTTTTTTCTAGTTTATAGCTAAAAATAATGGTTTGGTGTGCTGAAATTGTTATTGTGTTCTAAGAAGTTAAATTTTTTTTTTTAATTTTAGAAAGTTTTAATTCTGTCTTTTTATATTGTTGATGTTTCTCTGCCAATTCTCTCAAATACTATGGAGTATTGATGAGTCTAGATCCTCTGCCATGGTTTCTTGCCATGGTCCCTGCCATGATGCCAAAACAACATCGTTTTGGCGTTAAATTCAAAAAAAAAAATTTCCCCTGTTTTCCCTTTCTCCCTCAATTGTTGATACAGCCCTAAACCTTAAGAGAGAGGCGAACTTGAACGGCTCCTTTGACGCAGAGGAGGGTAGGTGACGACAGCTGCGCTAGGCGAGGTGAGGCGACAGTTAGGTCTCTCCTCTTCCATCTTCATTCTCATGTGGTGCTTAAATATATATGTATATATATATATGATTTATATGTATATATATATGATTTCTTGATCTGAATTTCTTGTTGATTTCGTAAACGGGTTTGATTTCTAGGGGTTTTTTCCCCTCTTTTCCCCTTTACGATTTCTCCTTCCAAAAAACAGGAATCCAAAAATCAAATTATATGTATGATTTTTCATCTGAGCATATCAATTTTTTATTCTCCAAATCACTCTGTATCTATAAAAAAAAATTTGAGATTTCTCCCATTACATTGTTTGAACAAGAGGGACCTACATGGGATTTGTTAAAGCAAATATAATATGGTTTTTCCTATAATATTTTTCATATATGATTTGTAATTTTCTGAGTTCCTAGTTTCACTGTGACTGTACTTCTGTTTTTGCTCATACAATGACCAAGGTAATCTGTGATTATTAATTTGTAGATTTTGTGATTGAACGACAACAATTGGTTGTGGTTGGGCATGATGTCTCAAGTTAGGACCTGTTGAAAAGATTTGCTAAACTTTGAAGTAATTTGATATCTTACTTTGATGACTTGGAAGGACATAATTTTTTTGTGAAGATGATAATACAGTATGTGTTTAATTAGGATTGAATTGACATTCTTTTTTGGTGTGCCATACAATCTATGTTTTTGCTGGTAATGGAATAAAACAATTGTAATTACCCAAAAAAAAAGGGTAAAAAAAAGAAAATTGTGATTGATGATAAGTAGAACAATTGTAGTTAGAAGCCAATTTATTTATTTTGACTTAATTGGTTTTCAGTGATCAGACTATTATTCTTAAATTGATCCTTATTTATATTTAAATATTTTATTGGTTCTTTGCAATGGCATAATGATGGTTAAATCACTGATGTTGCTAAAATTCTTTTATCATTTTTGTTATAATTTTTTTTTATATCATTTTTATTGAAATTGGGGTTTCCATTTTAATTCAAATCATTGATAATTGAAATCCTTGTGCTTTTGTAGGTAATGGAACAATATTGTTAATGAGTTGGACACTTATTGTTGGAAGCCGAAACTGGGGATGTTGCTCCCACATTCTTCTAGGAGTTGATTTAAGATTCAAGTGTTTGTCACTTTGCAATTCAAGACTCACATCGCAAGCCTAAAACAATCCTGCTGGCAGTCACGTAGATGGTCCTTCAAATGACGCATTGAGGCGATGAAAGATACAATGTTTTGGTTTAGTTAGATGTTATTTTAGTTGGATGTTGTTTTGGTGATTTTAGCCTTATGTTCAAATTAAAAGCCTTGATATGAACAAAATTGATTGAATGTTAATTGATTTCAGCCTTATTATGTTAATTGGCAAAATGTTTTGGTTTAATTGCCTTGATGTTAATTGATTTCGACCTTGTGTTAATTGACTGAACGATAAACTAAGGATGAAGACTGCTTAAGTTTTCCAGCATTAATCTGGACTGTTTGGTTTTTCCAATAAAATTCTCACCTGCAGTGAACTTGGTTGTTTCTATGGCATTCCATCTATGTATTTGTACAATCATCAAAAAGCCTTAATATTTGTCAAGATAGCAAGAACAGCACTGATAAACATTCCCAATCATTTCAATAATAGCGACAACATTTCAAAATCAACAATTTTTGGAACTTCTAAATTCCCAACTATTTCAATAATTGCAACAACATTTCAAATTTCACAATTTTCAGAAGTTCTACATTCCCAACCATTTCAAAAATCAAACTAGTCAATTACAACATTGAAACATAGTTACTTCTTCATAATTAAAATAATAGCAATTACAAGTAACACCAATTATACAATCAAAAGTTTATTGCTTGTTGCGTCTTCGCGGTCAAAAATCAAAGTTGTTCACTAACACTCTCCATATCTTATAAGTTCACTTTGCAGTAGCACAACTCTCTCTCTTATAATTCCATCACTTCTTTGTGTTGCATTTGTAGGACACATTACTCATTGCTGGTATAGAATGATCTCCACATTGATAATAGTACACTTTGTTGGGCTTCAACCCTGCAAAAAGAAGAGGAGAAGAAAAAATAAAAATAAAAGAAGCTCAAATTAACACATCACAACAAATTCGTCACTATTGTGTCTATGGCTTCAACCCTAATGTTCGTAATTATAGATTTAACAAAATTAATTTCCAATGACGCACTCATGTGAAGTGGAAAAAATTGAATTGCTCTGTTTTGAGACATATAACAATTTCATTCAATAAAAATAACAATTGTTAATCAGCTCAATCAAACCGTAAACTAAGAAATGAACATTATACTAACACAATTCATTGAGGCCTAACTACATACACATCATATGTGCAATTTTGACAACACAAACCATATCTTGACCTTGGGAAGATGGATTACCTTACTCCAATCACTCATCTTTTCCACTATTTTTGTGGATTCAATCTTCCTTATAGGTAAGCAAATAGTTTTGCTTGTAAAGAGCATGGTGAGGCTGTAATCTACAATCTTTGGCAACAAATCTAGACATTGACGCCATAGAAGATCGGATGGAAAGGGAAGACAAAGAATCAATGGAGGGGGTTCAGTTCAGACCATTCCTCTGTTCTTTGAAACTGATTAGGGCTTTGAAACTGATGAGAGAGAAAGGAAAAGAGGGGAGCAAACTCCTAGAAATCAAACCTATTTACGAAAGCAACAAGAAATTCAAATCAAGAAATCATATACATATAAATCATATATATACATACATATTTAAGCACCACATGAAAATGAAGATGGAAGAGGAGACCTCACCGCCGCCTCATCTCGCCTAGTTGCAGCTGCTGTCGCCTCTGGAGTCGCCGTCGCCCACCCTCCTCTGCGTCGGAGGAGCTATTCGAGTCTGCCTCTCTCTTGAGGCTTAGGGCTGTCACAACAATTGAAGGAGAAAGGGCAAAAGGAGAAGGAAATGTTTTTTTTGAATTTATTATCAAAACGATCTCGTTTTGGCACCACGGTAGGATCATGGCAGGAAATCATCGCAGAGGATTTGGACTCGAGTATTGATTGAATGACTATGACTGCTATGAGCCTTAAGGCTCTGTTTGGTTTAGGCTTAAATAGCAATTTTTTTGATTATTTATGAAATAAAAAATTAACCCTGTTTGACAATGTCTTAAAAGAACCAAAAAAAAAAAAAAAAACTCAGTTTAGTCTCTCTCTCTCTCTCTCTCAAACCTTCCCCTCCCTCATCCGATGTCCCTCCCTCTCATCTCCCTCCCTCCCTCCATCCGATCTCCTCCCTCCCTCCGATCTCCTCCATCACTCCCTCACGCCGATCTCCCTCCTTCCGAGACCTCATTGCCTCTCCTCGATGTCCATCACTGCCTCCCGCGATCTGCCTCACGCCGATCTCTCTCCCTTCCTCCCTCCCTCCGATCTCACGCCGATCTCTCTCCCTCCCTCCGATCTGCCTCACGCCGATCTCTGCGCCCCCCTCCGATCGCCGTCGTCCTTCATTCCGTTGCTTCTGTCGGGTTTCCCCGACCCAGATCTGATGAAGATGAAGTTGAAGAAAATCATGTATTAGAGTTTTTATTTTTTTATTTTTATGGATTGATTTTTTATGGACTGATTTTTATTTTTTATTTTTATGGATTGATTTCACAGCTCAGATCTGTATGGACTGATTTTTTTTTTTTTTTAATTTTAGCCGGGGAATTATCGGGGTCGGGGAAACCCGATCCCCATTGGGGACGGGGACGGGGGTGGTGATAGGCTCCCCGTCGGGGATCGGGACCGGGGACGGGGAATTTTCTACCATCGGGGATCGGGGACGGGAAGGGTGATCCCCGGCCCCGCCCCGCCCCGTTGCCATTCCTACTGCTATGAGCCTTAAGGCTCTGTTTGGTTTAGGCTTAAATAGCAATTTTTTTGATTATTTATGAAATAAAAAATTAACCCTGTTTGACAATGTCTTAAAAGAACCAAAAAAACAAAAAAAAAAAAACAAAATTTACTAATGTGAAGAGAATTCAAAAGCTAAAAAATATTGATTAATTGATGTTTCAATATAAGTTTTTATTTTTCACTAAGCTCAAAATTTAGCTTTTTGATCACGTGCCAAAGGTAATTAAAAAAAAAAAAAAGGAAAGGAAAAATTACATTGATTTTCTCTAAAATTTAGAGAAAATACAACAAATATCACAATTTAAACATAATTATACCACTTTCTCTTTTAACGTAGCTAAAGGGATAAAATTAATACAGTCAATATAAAAGAAATATCGTTTTTCCATTCAAGCATGTCCAATTCTTAACTTTCTTTTTTGCTCATCAAATTAAAATTTGATTAAAAAAAATACTCAAAAACTATCTGTAATCATTTAATCAAATGGTTATCAAATTAAGGAATTTTTTTTTTCCCATCAAATTAAAAATTCATCAAATCCTTTGTCAAATTTAAATTTAATGAAAACTTAAAATGATAAAACATTGGAGATGATTTTTGCATCAAAATTAAGAGAAATTTAGAATAAAAAGAATTTTTTAATGAAAAGATTGATTAATTCATATTAAATCGAAATGTTTAAGGAAACAAATTTAAAGCCAAATTAAATTTTTTTTTAAAAAAAAAACAAAATAGTATTTGCATCATTCTATTTGTATCCACAGTTTCTACAAATTGTTTACAATGTCATGCCTCAATTCCCAATCCATCAACATTCTTTCCTTCATTCAAACCCTCAAATTAGATTACCCACTAAGAATTTCCCTAGAAATCTACGTTTCTCTTCTCGAAGACTCGCATGCGAGTTTGAAATTAGGGTTTCTTGAGGTTTTCGTGAAGCGGGGAGTTATTGTGGTTTTAATGCTTGTGAATTGGAGTTGACTTCTATAAATCTTCAATCTTACTGCACCCGCTCACATTACACCTCTAGTTACAAATTACAAGCTACCTTAACTGAATTGCTAAAAGGTCATTCGAAAAAATTGGCCATACAAATCAATCAATTTTCATTGCAAATGTAACAAGATTTTATTTCCCAGTGTCAAATTTTTTTGTTTCCTAAGGCTATGTTTAGAACATGGATTTGGGTCGGAATTTGAAAAAGAAAAGGAGAAAACTGAGTAAAATATAAATAAAATATAAGTTACATTTTTTTCTTCATTTCCTTTTCCAAGACTTCAAATGTGCTATGACCATGTAATAACATGTTAATGCCTTGTCACATGACTGCCTTTTATCTCCGTTGTTTCAGTAAATACATGCTTTGACAGTCATGAAGTCTCTGATAGAGTAGTAAATTACAAGCTTTTGAATGGAAATTGTCATCTAATGTAAATGGAAATGAGGTGTCAATTGGAGATAGTTTCAAGCTTCACTAATCTATTAGTGTTCTAAAGAAACATCAGTTGTGTTATAGAAAAAAGAGGATTCTTAACATTTTTTTCTCTCTTGCTGAGAAACCATTCAATCTTTAGTTCCTTTCTCAAAAACAAAATTTGATTTGTACATGCAAGAAATAGGCTAATTCAGCCCTTTTTTGTTCAATTTCCATTTAAAGGTGGATGTCGATGTCAATCCTCGAGTGCAAGTAACATGGCATTTCCTCAGAAATGTCATTGAGAGTTCAAAATGTTAGGTTTTTATTCTTAGCAATCCCGCTTGACAAAACTCCTTTCAGTTGTAATTTTGTTCATCTTTTATTTCAGTGAGGCTATGAGTTTTTAGATGCGAATCCAACCCGAATTGTGCCTTGTAGAGATATTTCAGAAGTTAATTCTTTCATGTTTGCCACTTCACTGACTATGCCGGGAATCGAGCTGAAGTTGTTTGGTCGCTCGAGCAGAGGAATGTGGGCTCGAGCAAAGAATCCTTGGTCCCAGATGTTTTCACTGACTGTAAAAATACTGAGAAGCTGCATTTCTCGCTCGAGCGACACTTTGGTGGCTCAAGCAAAGACACTTGGAAAAACACGCGTTTTAGTCTCCTTGCTAGAGCGACCTTCGCGGCCCTGTTTTCTATAAATATGTAGTTCTATTAGTTTTTAGGGTTATGGCTTCTAGATCTTCTTCTTCGATATTAGGGTTTTTATTTGAAACTTCTTTGCTAGTTTCTTTGATGTTTGTTTGAGTTTAAATCTAGTTTGAAAAGTATACATCAAAGGATTGTTTGTTTCGTTCAATACAAAAGAGAGTGTTGTTCTTCGGTGGATTCCGTGGAGTTCGGGGCCTGAACCTTTGTGGATTCTAGAGTGGCTCATTATCGTGATTCGATATCGGCATTGTGGATCCAATGTTGTACAAGACAATTCCAAGGTGAAGACGGGGCTAGAAGAGGCACATAGGGGTCGGTTCGATTCGAGCGTGGATTCGCTAGGTAATTGAGAGTACACTTGTGTAATTCCTTTATGTCTTCTTAGTGGATTGTTTTGTGGTTTTTGCCCGTGGTTTTTTTTATGTTGATGATAACATGGTATAATTGTTACATTGATTTTTTTTCCCCCCCTCTTGTTTGTGATTGTCATAATTGGAAAATGTGTGACAAGAAAGAAGATATAGAACATTAACAGACCTCATCCAATATGTAGAGATAAGGTTGTTTTGTGATGGTTCACTCAAAATTAAGATTGTGGAGGAACTCTGTTAAAAGTATGTCTGTTGTATTTTTATTTTAGGGTTTGGCTTCTCCCACGTTCACATCTGAACCTGAACACTTGAGGGGCTCGTGGGCCTACCATGGATCCCGTTTCAATGATCTTTAACTGCTCATTTTCTAGAACCCGCAATGTATATCAACCATGAAAAAATTAGTTTGATCTTCGTAACCTTTTTATTTTTTCTCATTTGTCTTAAGAAATGGATTAGCCATTTTTTAGAGATAAACACGATAAAATGAAAATATTATGATTATCGGATCGACATAATTTTTTTTTGGAACAATATACATCGAGGGCCTTACAAAATGACCGATTCATACTATCAAAACGGAAATCGTGATGGGCCTCACTGGTCCCTCAAGTTCTCTCATGTTGAGATGTGAACATGAGAAGCCTAACCCTTTATTTTATTTTATTTATTTAGGTTCAAAATCTTCTTTTCCAGTTTTGCTAACAATTCATTGAAACATACCACTGCCTAAAATATGGTATCTGTTATTGTATATGTGTGTGTGTTTTAATTTTTATAGTTATGTAACGATATTATAAAAGAAAATCGATCGTAGAATCATCATCTTCACCGATTCATGACGAGTCTCCAAAACAGAGTCGTATAGAAATCAACTTGTTAGACCTTCCTTAAGATTCAGGGCTACGACCTCAGATTACGGATTATCATCATATCATCTGAGAACAAGTTCGTAGGGTGTACTTATTAAAAGGCCCTTGTCAACCTCATAATCACAATTTTCCACGAAGGAAAATTGAGCAATCATCAAGAAAGTTTAACCCTTTATGGTTTGATGAATTTGGTAGTTGGTTGGAGTATAGCATAGCTAAAGATGCTGCATTTTGCCTTTGTTGTTACCTTTTTAAACTCGTTGTAGGAGACCAAGGAGGTTGTAAGTCTTTTGTTGTTGATGGGTTTTCAAGTTGGAAGAAGAAAGAAAGGTTGCAAGGTCATGTGGGAGAGGTGTTAACAACCCTCACAATCAAGCTTGGAGAAAATGTTAGTACTTACTAAATCAAAAGCAACATATTGAAACAGTTTTCTCCAAGCTACTTGATGAAACCAACAGTGATTATAGAGTTCGATTGACTGCATCAATTGATTGCATCCGACTTCTTTTGCGATAAGGGATTCCATTACATGGGCATGATGAATTTGAAGATTCGAGCAACCAAGGAAACTTTCTTGAGCTTTTGATTCTTCTTTCAGATGAAAATGAGAATCTCAGAACTGTT